AGCGCTTTCCCCTTTGGCCCACACAACAGTCTGGCATGGCGTTTCCCGAGATGTTGCTACACAATGCTACACATAGACTTAGACGCCGCTGCTGCTGAATCGCACGCCAGAAGCGGTCGAACGCCGCGCGAAGGGGCCAAGACTGTGCGGCCTTTCACAGAAGTCACAAGGATTCAATGATTGGTGGTTGAAACAAAATGGTTGTCTGATGGGCAAAGGCTTCAGATGTTCAAGGGGTTCATTTTGAGGGATATGTGGGATCAAGAAAACGTAGTCTATCTATTCGGGATGTCCAGGAAATGTCTAGAGGGATCTGAGAAGAAACAGTTCAGGACCTGCCGGTAGCATCTTGATGTTCGCATCTGCAATGAACCTTCGGAGGTTACTTGATAATGAGATGTTCATGAAGGTGCTCCTTGCAAGGAGAACCTGAGGATGACTCTTGGAAAACATGTTCTCGTCTCGTCAAACCCTCTTATATAGTTGAGATATGTTGAGACCTTATTCAAAACGCTCAAGTTTGGCGACTGCAGCTAGCAGGCAGCTGCCGATGATGAATTAAATTGAATTATATAATGCATAAACTTTCTTAAATGTGCAACCACCCTACCCTGAACTGTTTTTGCGAAACTCAATCAGCAAAGATGAAAACCATGGAAAATCCTTCTCCAAACCTCAGGTTCTCCCGAGCCTGCAAGGCCTTGGCACACCGGCGACGGTGAGCCACTTGAATCTGGCAGTAGGACCTTTCGAAGCAAATGGGGATAGGATGGAAAGGCTGGGCTGCAGCTCGATGCTCAGCCAGTGCAAGCGACGTTTGTCGTCAGAACACGTCAGAACGAGCAAAGACTGGATTACGAAAGGTCTACCAGGAAAGCTCTCTTTGCTGGCTTCTGAGAGTGTTCCGGACGGGGTTCAACCCTGTGCAAGGAACGTGATATGTTTTTAATGATAGTTTTAATCCGTTTATAGAAGGTTATAATGAAGATATAGAAATGTGTCTTTCATTGTCACGAGAAAGGGCCGAAAGCCAGTCATCCGAAAGAACACTTTCTGCACCGAACCGTCGCTGACACCTCCAACCGCCCAGGACGTGAGCCACCAATCGCCCGGCCAGTTCCGCTGACATGACCTCGGAGGAGGACGGATGACTGGAATTCTTGAAACGGATGGAGAGGGCTCCAGGATGGAGACCTGGTGTGCTGGAAATGTTTGAAACAGCCCAAGCGCGGCTGCTCAGCTCAATTGTCTCAGAAATCATGAATTCGACTGTAGACTCTGTAGACCTTTCGATCTGCTCAGTTTTGTCCAGCCTGATCATAGTGATCTGCAGGGCAGGGGCCCGGGGCTCCCACCAAACTCTTTTCGCAGCACTGGGCGAAACGATGCATTGCTGCAATCTGGGCCATCCTGATCACTGTCCCGTGGTTGGGCCTTTATAGGGGGGTCACCAAAATAGGGGACTCGCAAAGATGGAAGCCTGGGAAGAGTTTCAAGACCGAAAAGTCACCTATGATATATAAAATCCTTGATTAAACTTGTATACAAAAATAGAAGAAACATGAAAAAACCTCCAGATCGAAGGGTCTTTCTTGTCCCTCGACAAAAGGCCTTTATTAAACAGTGATTCGTGGAAATTTTTCTTCAGGTGATGTCGCTGTGCCACGCGGCTTTGTGTGGACTCAGTGGAAAGTGCGTTTGCGTGGCCCTGTGCCTCGGAAGGGTGCGCATGCGTGCTTACATGCGGCGTGGCGCTAGTGAGGGGCACGGTCGGTGCTGTTTCTTGTGGGTGGTTGGGTGGGTACCGTTGGGTACCTAGTTTTAAAAAATGCACTTATACGTTTGTAGTATTTTGTAGTTTAGTAGTAGTTCAAGAAGGCGGTATTTTAAAAGCATATGGTCTCGGCTGTAGCGTTTCTCTATGCTCTCGGCTGTAGCGTTTCTCTGCATCCTCTGTGCCGCACCAGTGTTCCTCGGCTGATGTTTCCTCTGCGTACTCTGGATACACTTGGCCGGATGTTTTTACACTTGTCTCCACTTGTCTCCCTGCTTGTCTCCCTGGTGGTCTTTCTGCTTTTGTCTCCCTTCTTGTTACGCTTGGTCTCCGCTTGCCCGCCCCCTGCTTGTCTCCCTTGTTGCTTCACTTGTCTCCCTTCTTGTTTAGCCTCACACGTTCATGGTGGGTTGAAAGCGTTAATATAACATCTTTTCACCAAACAAAGCATGATAAAGCCACATGTCAGTACAACTCAGCAATTCAGTGGACTTGCGTATGTTTTGTTTTTGTCTGAATTGCCAGTTCTGACCTTGAGCCAATTGAGCCAAGTGCTGAAACAAGCCCAGAAGGTCCGAGTAGATCACCGCGAGCTGGAACGGTTTGAGCGGCTGACTGTTTGACAGTTCGTCTCTGTGGTTTACTTCATAAACGCACAAACTGTTTGGGGTCTACGCTAAGCTAGTATATGTTTTTTCTGGCTTTATGTTGCAGACAAATGGTTTTCAGCCACGACAAAGTTCGTGGGGTAGCAACTTCTCGATTTGTGCGTGTCGGCTCGAAAGACAAAGCCATTAGGTCTGTGACTCTCATTCTTATTCAGATCATTGTTTATGTTAATGGTGCCCCCAGGGGGACCCTAATCTGTGAGCACCGAGCACCCATATCATATACAGTATACATATATGAGCCGCGGCATTTATTCATAATTGTTCATTACTCATTAACTCAACACACACCATGGATTGTGTGGGGGCCCTATCTCTACTTGTACTTGCACAAGCAGGAGGTCATGTCACAGTATCTCATGTATCTCGTTCAGACTACTTTGGTAGCAAATCACAGTATCTCATTCAGACTATATACTCTATTGTCATCAAGAAGTATCTCGTTTATGTGGCAGCCCTCTCTCGTTCACCAGTGAATACTGATATTGGACGAACAAATAGAGCCTGCTGTAGACTACTTCATGAATAAGAGTGATTGCTCATATAAAAGGAATTCAAACTACGAGCAGGGTGCCAAAGTGTGCTTTCATCAATCTATCTGAGACTGCATTCAAATGGATTTCTCAAGCCAAACAACTGGTGTCAAAACTTGAGGACCAGCATGGCAATACGAGCTAGGAGTCTAACATGGTCTAACCTTGCCTTCAATTACAAGGGCGCTGCATGTGCTACAATGCCACTGACCTCGATCCGGGATTAGAACCAACTGCTGTCTATGGAAACCTATGCAGACATTTACACGATATGTCTACATGACAAAATGTGTAAATCGGGTGTATTCATGGCTATGACTCGACCCAGAAAGCCCGAAGCTCCTGACATCTCGCACATATGCCCAGGAGTTCAACACCATCTGCAGCCTGGATCGATTCGACCTCGTGCTCCGCTCGGCGGTTCGCGGGAACCGGTTCGGCCGTCTCTCTCAGGCCGCAGCTTGGAGGTCAACAGGAGCACCCGCCACGCACCCAAGGCCTCGGTGCGGACGGAAGCGCCCAGCACCCTACCAGGCGTGATTCACGGTGGGGCTTGAGCTGAGCAAGCGATGTTCGCTGAGCTTCAGGCGTTTGACAAGCACCGGCACCTTGCATCTGAAGCGCACTCTCAAAACTCAACAGCATTCTTCTGAATTCTTCTCACTTCACTCCATGCGACTTTCCAGCCAATTGGTCATGCTAGTGGCTCTTTCCTTCCACCTGTCCATCTCTGTAGAAATTGATTAGAAGGTTCCTTCCACGACAATTAACCTGGTGACCCTGGAAGGAAAAAGGCATAATTAGTCTACTTGGCTGGTGAGCCCATACCCCCTTCCCTCACTTCCCTCACTTCATCCGTCGGACCAGCTTTGATCGCCTCTGTGCTTGGATCGCAGCAGCCCAAGCGCGGAAGGCCGCCCTCTTTGCGAAGGTCGCCTGCCGATCGGAGGTGCGAAGTGTAGCCGGAGCATTGAGTCAATAGAAACACGACACGTGCAAGCTAAAAACGCCAAAACAAACCGGTAGCAACTTGAATCTCTTGAGTCAGATTGATTGAAGTGGATTGAAGTGAAGTATTTGCATATAATCTTAGGGTAGATGATTCATTAGGCGCGGCGACTTATCCTGGATCTGAATCGAGTCGATGGCCCAAATCAACCATCTCGAACAGCTTACTCATTCGATCTTATTAGCTTAGGCTTGGGTGCCAACTCTTGTTATGAGTCTTCCACACCATGCTGGCTGTGCCTTGCAGATCAACTGGCGCCACCAGCCGAAGATGAAGATCATGTTCTTCAAAGAAGCACGGCGCCAGTGCAGCAGGGCGTGCCAAGCATGGAAGAGGACCGGCAGCCTCATCAATGACCTCAAGCCGCTTGTCCGACAAGTCCCTCCATTAGACTCACGCGCAGGAGGTGCAGTTGGACTCAAGCAGCACTGCAAATAAAATCCACAAACCAGTCTTCGTTCCTCTAGTATCCTCTATATAGTATCCTCTAGTACCACAGTCCCAACACTCTTTCCCTCTAAAACCAACATTGAAGCCACAGCGATTCACATTCCACTACGTAAGGTTGAAGCTGCTGAATGGGTTACCTCTTGACTGAAGCTTTAGCGACCAAGCCGGCCCCACGTCTTTTTCTCCGGGCCACACGACCACGCGCCACGCCCCGAGCAGCGCCCGCGCCCGTCGCTGCGCTCGGCCCACGGCGCCCCAGGCGATGAGCGACGCGCGGGCGCAGCGCCGCCGCCGCGCCGCGGCGCAGCGCTGCCACTGGAGCCAGGCCTTCTGCAGGACCTGCGAAAGTGGGAGTTGGGGACTCTGTAGCCCAGTTGCTCTGAACTTGGCAAGGGAAGGCCACTTTCCTTTTACGAACAAAGGGGTTTTCCACTTCAATGTTGGTGAATAGAATTAGAATAATGAGATTACCAAAGTATTAAATGCTATAAATATGGTTTATCATTAATTTGGTGGGGCTCGTACCCCATTTTTTGGAGATTGACTTGGTGATGATTCGTCAGCTGTCCAAGGTCTCTGCGAAGTACGTTGAATGTGTTCGAGTGGCCCAAAGCAGATTACTGCGTCAACCAGTGAAGAGCGCTTTCCCCTTTGGCCCACACAACAGTCTGGCATGGCGTTTCCC